CTTTGGGTTTCCAGGTCGTGGGATCGGGTAGGACACATTAAAGACTTTATTTCCCTATTTTCTCCCTGAGGTGTACATTTTCCTTATTTCCTTTTCTCTTGTAAATAAACCTTTTATTAACCTTTTGTGTGTGTCTATAGTGGAGTATTCATAAGTCCCTTTAAAGCACGCGGGTGAGGACCCACAGCCAGGAACCCGTTTAATATCGGGGTTGCTCTATAACAGCTCTAAGAGGGAAATTTCCCTTTTGAACATAGTGTCTCTGTAGGGTAGGTAAAAGGTAGCAGGCTTTTCTGCCCTCCTGCCATTAGGATAGATGACGGAGCCCTGCGGCCCTGAATGCAGGCCTGACGGCGGGCACCTGGAGTGGGGTGTGGGCATGCGTAGGTGGGTACACCTGAGCTGAGAGACTGGTTTATAAGGGTGGCGCGGCAGAGTGCGGTGTGGCGGGGGTGCGGAGTCGAGGGTGGAGGAGCGCGGTGGAGGGCACGGAGGAGGACGGCGCCTGTAAACAATGGCGAAGAGCATGTGGCTGCTAGAACCTTCATAAACCTGCCCGGAGTGGGTTTGGCTGCGTTACAGTCTCTCTCTTTTTTTAAAAAATTTACTTATTTATGCATACAAGAGCTGGGGTGCAAGCAGCAAGTGTGGGGTGGAGGGGTGGTGAGAGGATTCACCAGAGACAGAAGGAGGAACAGAATAGACAGACTGACTGAAATCCACTGCTGAGGGGAGCAGCGGGGAGACAGGAGAGGTCTGCTGTGCCGTGTGGGTCACCTCCCTGGCCTGGAATCAAACTCATGCTGCAGTGGCTGCAGATAGCTTCCTAGTGCTGGTGGTGCTGGGACTTAACCCCTTGCTCCACCAGGGAGGCCCTCGATGTAGTGTCTCTTACAAAAAGGTCACTTTCCTGGGTTTTCACAGCTCTCCTGTCTGCTGTTTCTTAAAAATAGTCAATCTAAAATAATCCTATGCCAAAGAGACATGTCGGGGGGGGGGGGTGGTGGTGGTGGGCACTCATTCTTCTCCCCTTCACCAGATTGAAAGGCATTTGAGCGGCATCTGGAAGGCCTCAGCGGGAGAGCGCTTGGTGCGTGGTGTGGGTTCCAGCTGTCTGTTTGCAGGGGCCCTGGACCCTGTCACCTTCTGCCCTGGCTGTTGGGATGCGCTTGCTTCATCACGGCCACCATTAGGTCCCTTGTCATTCAGCGCCAGGCCTGGCAGTTACAATGGGCATACAGAGGGTGGAGAGTAACTCATCGCCTGGCTGGCAAGTGGAGGGGCCCAGCAGGTGTTTTATGTTGCTGCCCACCTTCATGCCTAGTTGAAAACAGCCTAGTTGAAACAGGTTGATTAGCATCAGCAGGCAGCACAGCCAAGTCAGGAGAGGGGAAGGGAATGGTTCGCCTGCTGATTCACAGCTTGATGAAGCTGGAAGGCCTGACCTCCTGGCCCGGCCCTCCCAGGGGAATGGAAGCAGGAATAAGAGTTCAGGGCTCTGGTGGAGGCAGGCTTGCGGGGAGACTGGAGAGCCCTGGGCGGGAAAGGAAGAGTTATCAGAGAGGGAAAGGGACGCTGGTGTCTGCCCGAGTCTGATTTTACAGGGCAAGAAACGTTTTGCATCACCTTTTGGAATGGAGATTACTTTTCGGATAAGGAAAGAAAATATCTATATTACGTCCTTGACTATTGTAACCGAAGGGTAAAGTGCCAAGCACGTGGCTAAGATGTCATCAGTGGAAGAAAATTAGAGAAGTGAATCATCTGGCCCCTGGAGTAGGGGTGGGGATTTGGGGGTTGGGGGGACAGGGAAGCCGGTGCCCGGCATCAAAGCCCAAAATCCCAGTGGCTTGAATAAGAATGAGGATACTGAGTGGAATGAGGGTCTTGATGATGGACAAGACCTCATTTATTTATTTATTTATTTATTTATTTATTTATGCATGCATGCATGCATGCATGCATACAGAAACTGGGGTACAGGCCAGAGGTGTGGGGGGTGAGAGGATCCACCAGAGACAGAGTGGGGAGCAGAACTGGCAGATTGACTGAAGTACACTGCTGAGGGGAGCAGCGGGCGAGACAGGACAGGTCTGCTGCGCCATGTAAGTAGCTTCCTGGCCAGGGATTGAACTCTTGCGGCAGAGTGCGGATAGCTTCACTGTGCGGTACTTAACCCCTTGTGCCACCAGGGAGGCCTAACAGACAAGACTTTATTAGACAAAGTGAAGATTCAGTTCTGGGAAGTAGTCTGACAGATGTAACTCTGTGAGATCTGCTTCTACAATCGCAAGTTTGAGTTGAGCTTACATAGGCAGAAACAGTGAGTCATTGACATTAAAATGTGCTTATTCCTGAGGGAACTGCTGGTCCTAACTCATTTTGATCTAAAAATAGGTGGAAGCTGTTTGTGCGCAGAGGAGGGAAAGGCAGGGTTAAGTCTCGTCCCCTCTGAAGAATGCGCTACAGAGATGCCAAGGCTGGGAACCCACAGTGCAATCTTCTTTACCCTGCTCTTTGAACTTTAGGGGGTTGGAAGACTGGCTTTACCTGCAGGCAACAGAGTTTGCGTAGCTATTTCAGGCTTCAAATCCACGCAGGTGACTTTGCTGTGTTGGCTGCAGGAGCAGGGACGTGGTTCCCAGACACTTCACAGTCTGTTCACAGTCCTTTTGGGAAGGGGGTGCTGGTTCAGCAGGGGAGTGATAACTTGATGCTTATGTGACATTTATTGAGCACCTGCTGTATGCCAGGCACTGTGATCACAAAGGAGGGACCGTTAATTCCCAGTAACAGTCTGCTGTTAAAGAAAGGCGATGGCAGGCCTCCCTGGTGGCCTAGGGGTTAAGTGTCAGACTATCACAGTTACTGCCTGAGGTTGATCCCCAGTCAAGACTCATGTAATGGCACTCTATGCAGATATGAAAAAGAGAGAGAGCGAGAGACACCTACTAGTTTAGCATCAACTGCTTGAGAAACATGAAGGGCAGAGGGAAAGGAAGGAACTTTCCAAGTTGCCCCAAGTCCTGGGCTCAAGGCAGTGAGTTTTGTGTAGTCTCCTGGGGCTGAGAAGGACCTGCTTGGTTTAAAGCTCTGCTTTCACCATCTTGAAATCCTTAATATTTTTGAACAAAAGACTGATATTTAATTTCGCACTGGGTCTTGCACATTTTGCAGCCATCTCTCGGCCCTCCACAGCCAGGTTCCCTCCAGTTTGGAGGACTCCAAACGCCATGGCTTCTTAGGTTGCAATGTCACCTTGGTGACTAGTTGGCATTCAAAGCCTCTTTCCTCCCTCCCGCCCCGGCTCTTCAGGGCAGCGGGGAGCTGGAGCAGGACGGAGATGTAGGGGAGCACCTTCACAGTCAGGCTGGTAGAAACACAGAGGCTCTGCCTTCTCCTGTGTCTGTCCCCAAGGAGTGCCCACACTTGTGGCCTGGGTTGCCCCCAGTGAACATATGACGTGTGTTCTGAGAACACCCCCTTCCTGGCCCAGCAGGCAAAAGAGCAAAGCCATCTGCAGACTCGAAATTTAGGAGGCAGTCCTGCAGGAATCTGCTCCCGACTGGTAAGCCAGCCTTTCAGCCCAGACTAGGGACCAGATCTGGATAAAGAAGGTTGACCACAACGAGGGGCACACACCTTTGCATGCCCGCAGGGTGTCCCTGCCAGGGAGGGTCACACCCACCTTTGCCTTCCTCCATGCATTGGAAGCACAGCATATCTTTTTATTTTATTTTAAATTTTTTAAAAGATTTATTTATGCATACAAGAGCCGGGGTACAGGCCACATGAGCAGGAGGGTGAGAGGATTCACCAGAGACAGAGCAGGGAACAGAGACAGGCAGAGACAGGCAGACTGAGGAAACATACTGCTGAGGGGAGCAGCAGGCGAGACAGGAGAGGTCTGTCATGCCATGTGGGATTCTCGCTGGCTAGCCGGGATTGAACCTGCACTGCAGAGGCTGCGGACAGCTTCACAGTGCTGCGCTCAACCGCCTGCACCACCAGGGGAGGCCCCACAGCATATCTTTAAGTCAAAATAACTTTGAACCAGAATCTCCCCCTCAAGAAAAATGACACTTTTTATGCCAGTGACTCACTATTCCTACCTACATAAAGAAAGTCATGCTTGTCATTGTTGGGACAGCTCTCACAACATTCCATCCGCTGGACAGCTTCCCAGGTTCGAGCCCTCACTCTGATTATCTAGTGAACTCTTTGTCTATCGTGGGGACTTTTATTTCAACGAACACGCCTCAGCCTGATGTTCACATCTCTCTGTGAGGATCGGCTGATCTCCAGAGATTTCTCTCCAGTTGATGCCTCTGAGGTCGGCTTGGAGAGGTTCAGAGAGCGGGGGGTCCTTGGGTTGCCTCTGGGCAAGGTTTCACCAGAGCTCCCCTTTCAGAGGCACTGGCGAGCTTCTCCACGAAACAGAGCCTTAGTTGTTTCCAAAAGGGCAGGCTTATTACAGAATGGGGAGAAGGAGAAAGGACACTTGCAGCGACAGCAGTGGGCAGGAGGCTGCAGTCCTTCACCAGTGCAGAAATTGCCCCATACGGTCTTCTCTGGGGGGGGAGGGAGTGTCACCCCTTTGTAAAGTGTTAACTATTTTAACTTGATTGACTGGACATCTGAAAGGACCCAGAGATTGCCTAATGGTCCTCAATCTCCATATCTCCTCCTCCCCACCTGTCTTAGCACTTGAGGGTTCTGTTTATTTGGTTTATCTAGGTAGAATTGAAAGGACCTGAGGTTTTTACAATGGTCCGCAATTTCCATATCCCATCCCCCAGTATGTGTGATGAGGTTCTTGGAGTGCTGGGTCCTTGGGTTCACTCTGGGAAAGGTTTCACCAGAGCTTCCCATTCTGCAGCAAGCGAGTTTCCCACACAAGTTTCTCCATGAGACAGAGACGGTAGTTACATTTAAAGAACATGTTTATTAGGGAAAGGGACAGAAGAATAATGGACACTTGCATAGACACAAGCGGGTAGGGAAGAGCTGCCCCAAAAGGGACAGGTTTGCTGAGAGGCCTGCATTGTTGCAGGTGGGCGGCCTTGAGGAGAGCGGCCTCCTCTGAGGGAGGTCAGTGAAGATAACTCCCGGCAGGCACAGGTCACGGGCGGCCAGAAAGTTGCTGCCCTGCAGAGGAGAGAGTTAGTGAAAAGAGGCACCTGCATAGTCACAGGTGGGCAGACAGACGGCTGCCCAGAGCCTGTGCAGAGACTGTACCGATATAGTCTTCTGCTTGGGAGGGTCACTCCTTGTGAGCCTTCAGTTTGTTGCTGATTTTTGGGTAACCAGGCAGAATCCAAAAGGGACTGGAGATTCCAGGATAGGCCCAATCTCTATATCTTTACCCTCAGGTCTGTGCTCCCCACTCCTTAGAGTAGTCTGATCCTGCTTGGGTCTCCCGCTTTGTGATAAGGCTCTGGTGCCTAAGGGTCTGACCTCTACAGCTGGGTTAATGGTCGTGTTATTCCCCTCGACCCCCACCTCCTTGTGAATCAGGTTCGGGTCTTGGGGCACCTCCTATCCAGTCTTTCTATTCTTGTCCTCCATCATGTGCCCAGGGTCTTTTCTATAGCTAGTTTACGACATGTTAACCATTCTACCCCCACCTCCTAACCATTCTACCCCCACCTCCGGCTTCTGGCCTGGCGTGAGCCAGTTTCTGGTCTTGTGATGCCTCCTTCTGAGACATAGGGCAAGTTAGGGTAATTAGGCAGTTTTAGGGACAGTGCAGGAGGGGACCTCTGAAGAGTTTAGGAAGGCTTCAGGGATAAGGACAAGTAGAGGAATGTGTTAGCACTGGCCTGGGTTTCCCTCAGGTGATAAAGGGAGGTAGAGTTTGGGGAAATGGAGAGTGGCTTAATTTATGGACAAATTAGAAGGGCAGCAGACTCCTTTGTCAAAGTGCAGGGATATTTATGCAAGGGGGAGATGAGAAGGGGTCAGCACTAAGACGGGTGGGCGGCAGCCTGTTTTTCTTTTGCTGATGTTTAACTTTCTCTGACTGGGCCATAAAGATAAATCTATCAAACAGGGGGGAAGATGCAACAAATGGGGAGAGACAAACCTGTTAGATAAGGAATGTGAAGATCCCCACTTAGTACGTGTGAGGCCCTCTGGGAACTAACCAATCAGGGAGAGACTGGAATTTTAACATAATGAGGGAAAGAAAGCACATATTCCTGAAGCAATATCCCATACTGGCTCATCTTGGCCCCTCCCAGATACCTTATATCTGGGAGTTTTTCTTCTTTGTCCTTTTTCCTAAAATAAACTTTTCTTTCTAAGACAAGATTTGCTTCTCTCTGCTTACTTATCTGAAAAGTCTGCAAATTCCTTTCTACGGCTTCACGAGACAAGAACTCGTGGCAAAGCGGCAGCAGCAGCTGTTACACACGCCGGCATCACTTCCAAATTTTCTACTCCATCACCTCCGACATCTCAACTTTATATTCTCAAACACAGAGATGACCGGAAGGAAGAGCGGTTACCCCCGCCCCCCGGCCCCATGTCAGAAGACCTTCTGGAAGAATGCTGTGCCTTTCTTTATAAGTGTTCATGTCAGAGCTTCAGCTGGGTCTTTGTGTGTGTGGCTGAGCACAGCCTTTAAGGGGTCAGGGCTGGCTGGAACCCTTTCTTGGGACTGGCAGACCCAAGGGGCTGGGGCAGGGTGGTGTAAAGTGCTAATTCAGTATCGGAGAGGCAGCCTTGAAAATGACAGGGCCCTTAGGAGCGCTGCCTTGCCCTCCTTACTGGTTAACAGCCCTAGCTCTGAAAATGCATGTTTGCCCTTTGGAAATGCTGGGGAAAGTGTTGGACTCAGCAGTTGTGGGCTGGGTTATTGGGAAAACAAGTATCGGCGTCCTGGTGAGATTTTGAAGGACTCCAGAAGAGCCAAAGCTCCCCTGGCCAAAGACCACCACACTGTCTCACTGGACCCCCCGCCCCGCCCCCCAAGGCATTTATCAACATTCTAGATTCCAGAAAGACAAATGGGCTCTAAAATCTAAATTCTAAAAGGACAAGTAGCTCAGCTCTGTGGCTGCGCTGGGAAGGACTGGATTCTGGCTGAGGACCCTCTCCAGCCAGTTCCTCTCCTGAGGTTAGTAGATATTTGGAAAGCGAGGACAGGAGGGTCAAAGCCAGGACTGGGACGAGAGTGTAAAGAGTGGGGAGTGTAAACAGAGTGGGGAGCAGAACAGGTGGATCAGAGGCCCTGGGGGAGAGTCACGGCCCTGGGGGGCGAGTGTAAAGACCTGGGATCAAGAGGTTGATAGTGCTAGGTGAGGGGTCAGAGGTTCCAGGCCCTGTTGAGAACCAAAATCACTGTTGGGAGGTGGGAGAAGAAAATGATCCTCTACCCTCTTGAGGGAGGAGAGAATAGAAACCCCCCCACCCCACCCCAACACATCACTTTTAGGCTCAGTTTCTGGGGAACTGTGAATTAAAATGACAAAAAACAGATTAGCCCGGGAGAAGAGTTTGATTACACACAGAAGCGGTCACCAGTGAGTTACTCAAAGCAGTGGTTACAATTTGGGGCTTGGTTAGGGAATTCACTAAGTAAAGAGGGTGCAGCAAGAGCATATTTCTGTGGGGAGAACAAAGGTAAGAAGTTGGGGAAGGAAGGTCTGAGTGGTCTCTCTGGCTTCTTCGGGCCATGAACCCCCCCAGAGTGGGTGTGAGAGCAGGCTCACGCTCCACGTCTTTCCTGGGAGCAGACCTGTGGCCAGGAGGGACCTGACAACCCTCAGAGAGTTCCCGAAGTGTCGCTTTTAGTCAGATAGGGAAGCCCTGAGAATCTCAAATGTCTACAGTTGAATCTTCACACCAGCTCCGGGTTCGGAGGGGCGCTCACACCACACAGCGTGGCCTGCTCCATAAATGGTTTTGAGTGAACAAATGGAAGGATGAATGAATGAAGGGCAGGCAGGGGCTGTTGCTACTGGGCTCGCTAACAGAGGGATTGGGCGGAGACAGCTCCACATTCTCCTCTCTGTGAGAAGCTGGGCCTCAATAGGCCACCAGCTTGTGGGCGGGGCTGCTTTGTGGCAGGTCATGGGCTCTGCTGGGATGGGGGTGAGTTTAAGAGACACAGGTTTGCAGGAAGAAGTCAGACCTGGTGAGTCCACTACTCTGTTCATTGAGAGAGTTGGCTTTCCCTTTTTTTTTTTTTTAAAAGATTTGTTTATTATGCATACCAGAACTGGGGTTAAGGCCAGAGGTGGGGGGGGCGTGGGGGCGGGGAAGGGGAGGTGAGAGGACTCACCAGAAACAGAATGGGGAGCAGAACAGGCAGATCTACTGAAGTACACTGCTGAAGGGAGCAGCAGGCGAGACTGGAGAGGTCTGCTGCGCCATGTGGGTCAGCTTCCTGGCCAGGGATTGAACTGGCAGCAGATTGATAGCGCTGTGTCTTTAACCCCTGCGCCACCAGGGAAGCCTAAGAGAGTTGGCTTTTTCTTGAAAGAAATGGAAAAATGAATATTTGCTTAGTTCTCCTGGGAGTACTGGCTGAAAGGGGGCTGTGAGTATGAGGAGGAAGCAGCTCCTGCTCAGGTTGGGGATCTTTGCCTAGAAAAGGCCCCAGAACCTTAAGTGAGCTCCTTCCAGCCGGGGCAGGAGAAGGGGGGAGCAGGGGTGGTAGTAGTGGGGTTCAGCCAGGGATAACCCCTGGAGCTGAGTTTGCAGACCACCCTCCATCCTGCCCAATCTGGGGTGGGACCACCCTGTTACAGTTCCAGCCCTCCTTGGATTTGATCTCCAAGAAAGGACTTGATGTTCTTCCGGAAATGACCTTGCCCTGGACACAGGCTTGAGATGGGTTGTCCAGATGTCCAGCTGGCCCGGTTAAAAAGCTTTGAACAGAGTCCTATAAAAATAGAACTTCCTAAGCCATTTCTTCCATGACCTTCCTACTCTGCAGACTGAACACCAGACCAGGTACGGGCCTGGTGTTTTCTACAGTGGATGCAGGTGAGCGCCGAGGAGAGAGGGAAGGAGAGACACACTTTGAATTAATCAAATAAATGTGCCTGGTTAGCAGCTTGGCAAAGGTTCTCGGGAAGGTAAGGTGGGAAGCTGGGGCTCAAATCTACATCCCTGGTCCAAATCCTTCTGTGCAGCCCCCCAATTCTGGGCTGCTGAGACCTCGCAGGCCGCAGGCAACTAGGAGAACCCTGGCTGGTCTGGAGGGTCGAGGAGTCCAGTGTTTAGAAAAGGGGAAGTGAGGGTGGAGGAGCCGCCAGAGAATCAGTGTGGAGAGCAGTAGAACAGAAGCCCCAAGTAAAGTGTGGAAAATCACATAAAGGAACCTCAGAATCTGGCCAATCCCTGCAGTTTTGCCAAGAAAACACTGACATTTGAAAACTGAAAGCTTATTGGTTCCCTGGCCCTGGCCCCTGGCCTCTGGCTCAGAAACAAAAGGGGGTTGTCTGCAACCCCCCCCCACCCCGCCAGGGTGTTTGTGCACAGATTTTGATGTGTGCTGGGGCATCTGCGGAGGGGGTGCGTGTGTGTGGAGGTGTGCATACTGGCTGCTGTGCTGCGCCGGCCTGAACTCACCAGGCTGGAAAGCAGCAGCAGTCCAAGCCAGGAGCTGGTCTGGTGTGGATGGGGTGGGCACCAGGCTCAGTATTATTTCTTTTCTCTTTCAAAGATTTATTTCTTATTTTTTTGTTCATATAAGAACTGGTTAATGAGCCAGAGTTTCAAGGGGTGGGGTGGGATGGGGTGAGAGAATTCACCAGAGACAGAGTGGGGAGCAGAACAGGCAGATCTACTGAAATACACTGCTGAGGGGAGCAGCGGGCGAGGCAGGAGAGGTCTGCTGCGCCATGTGGGTAGCTCCCTGGCTGGGGATCGAACTCGTGCTGCAGAGGCGGCGGAAAGCTTCACAGTGCTGCCACTTAACCCCTGCGCCACCAGGGAGGGCAACCCCCCCAGGAGGACAACACCCCCCGCCCCCCCGCACCGCCCATGCAGTCGTGCAGTGTATTAATGACACCAGTTCTTGTTTTGCTTTCTCATCTGCTGGGTAAAGGCCAGTGTCTCCCCAACCACCACCCCCCAACTTGCTCCACTGCAGGGCATCATGCAAGCTCCCTCCATTTCTCTGAGAAGGACCACATGCTCCTCCCTGATGGTGGAGTGGGGTTGCAGGGTGTGGCCAGGCCATGTCTCTGGATTCAAGTGTCTACTGATAAGCAGGAGCCCAGGTCTGCTCATGAGGCTGCTGCTGTCAGCCACTGGGGATAGGTTGGGTAGGCCCACAGGGCATAGAGGTTTTGCACTCTGGATAGATGCCCAGGATCACAGGGTGGAGGGTGTTTCCATTTTTGGCTTTTTGAGGTAAATCCAGAGCACGTAGCGGCTGTGCGGGTTCACCTTTCCATTAGGCTCTTTGGGGCAGTCCTCTCCCCTCTGGCTCACCCCGTCACCCACCATCATCAGCCAGGCTTATGCCTTTCTCAAGAGTGTTTAAAGATAAGAAAATTAATTTTGGAATAGTCTCATATTTATAGAAAACTTGCAAAGATAGCCCAGGGAGTCCCTGCAGACCACTTGCCAATTTCCCCCTTTAGCATCTGACGTGATCACGGCATACTTGTCACACCCAAGCAGCCGTGGTGGATGCACTCCTGTCCCCCTACCTGCTCCCCGCCCCACACTCCTCTGTTCCCAGGGGACACCCAGGATGCCCTATTACCTTTTGTTGCAGTGCCACGTACTCTCCCCTGACCTGCTGATGCCAAATGCCGGCCTCAGTTTCCCTTGGGCAATAAAGGAAGCAGCATTTGAGGATAAGGAAAGTCATTGAATTTGTAGATAAACTGAGGCAGGCAGCAGACTTGGGAGGTGAATGTGTGAGCTGTGACACCTCCGACCAAGCTCCTGTGATAAAAAGGACTGAGTTATTGATTCATACCATAAGGTGACCCTTAAATGCCTGCTGCTAAGTGGGAGAAAACTGCCCACCACCCTGCCCTTTGGCAGAGGGCGGGGTTATTTATACAAAGGAGTCAAACAAAAGGGAGACAGTGACCTTTTGATATTGGGTGGGCTCAGCTTACTTTGTTAACACTTTGTTAACTTCCTTAGATGTTTAACCTCCTTACAATCCTCTTAGGGATGGCCTTCCTTCTCCTTAGAATGCGAGAAGACAAACCTGTTAAGTGCAACAGATAGGAATGCTTATCCGATGGGGAGGAAGAGAGACCTGTCCTGTTTCACCCATCACCTGACAATGTCTCAGCCTGGCACGGTTTGGCGCGATCTTGACAACTGAGTACAGATCAAGTCTTTGGTAGAACACTTTTGGCTTGTCTGGTGTTTTCCCGCCCACATATGGCTCAGCAGCACATGCATATTTCCATATTCCTTCACCTGTTATAGCGCCATTGTGTTCGATCATAGCAAGTCTGTCTAGTGCTCTACCTCTGGGCATTTTGGACTGTTTTCAAAACCATAAATAGTGGTACTGTTATAGGACAGGGAGAGGGTCAGCCCAAACCCTGCAAACCTGCCTATTCTACATGGGTTCTGCCATCCGCCGCATCAACACAAAACATAGGAGACTTTAATGGGAAGGAACTTTAATTAAACTAGGAAACAATACAGGTAAGGCAAAGAGTCTAGTTTCTAAATAAAGCACCCAAAGTTACCCATCCCCTCGTGGGTAAAAGTCCATCCATATGGGATCGGCCCAGAACAAGGCCCCAAAGTCTACCACAAGTCTAAAACATCTTCCAGTGGGGACCCACAGAAAAGGGTCACAAACAACTGGACAAGCCCGGAAGGAAAAGAGCAAAATCAACATCAAGATAAAAGCTGCCATTGTCACCTCCCCACAGGTCTCACCCACATCTGTGTCACCCAGTCCACGACCAAAAGACAAGCGCAGTTTCTTTACGTGTTTCTAGGCTCCATGCGTCTCCTCCAGGTCTCCTGGCTCCATCCTGCTTCCTTCCTCAGTCTCTTCTGCAGCTTCTCCTCTTCCTGCTCAGCTCCACTCTCTCTTGGGTGGGGCAGGGAACCTCCCCCTTTCCTGGGGACCACCCTGTTGCAGTACTATGTGCATCTTTGTAATTACTTTTTATCTGAGTAATTTCTTTGCCATCAATTTGCCCAAAGCAGGATACCAGGTCAAGTTTTGTGGGTCTCACAACACTCAGACCGCGACTCAGAGAGACTGAACCAATTTGTAGTTCCCCACAGCCCCATCAACTTAGAGTTTTGTCAATTTAGTTAAGTTTCTGGAAGATCAAGTGTGTTCTGTGATTGTGCAGAAGCATGACTAAAAAATAAAGGTACAGCCTGCCATTTGCATGACCGAATATCTGAAAGTTTTAAAGTTTTACCTGTTTAATGTGATCTATGATATGTCAGAAAACTGAACCAAATCTTGAAGTGCTGTGATGTTCTACTGCTGGTAAGAAAGTGTTCAGGCTGAGGAGATACCACCCCATGAACTCTGAGGATCAGATCATCCAAGAAAATCTCCTCTTTCTTTGGCCCTCCGTCCCTCTGTTAAGGTCTATGTCAGCTCCAGGTCCCAAAGCTTAGGTCTTTTGTTTACTGTCTCGGTAAGTTTAGCCAGCACTTCTTATACTAGCTGTACTTTCACCTCACCTGGGGAGCTTCAAAACAAACCCATAGACCTCCCTGGTGGCGCAGGGGTTAAAGTCCCAATGCTATCACCAGCCACTGGACATGAGTTGGATCCCTGTCCAGGGAGCTGACCCACATGGTGCAGCAGTGTATTTCAGTGGATCCGCCTTCTCTGCTCCCTACTCTGACTCTGGTGAATCCTTTCACCCTCCCCCTTCAACCCGACCTGTACCTCTGGCCTGTACCCCAGTTCTTGTATGCATAAATAAACAACAGCAACAAAAAACATGCTGATTCCCAGACTCCATTCCAGGGATTCTGTTTTAATTACTTGGGAATGAGGCCTGATCACATGTGCTTTTGAAAAGCCTCCCAAATGATGCTAATGTCCGGCCAGGGTGTCTAATCACAATGCTCACCCCAGTCAGCACTCCCTAAGTGTTTGTTGAGTGACTCAAAGATTGAATGTACCCTAACTGGGAAACAGCACTTGTGCCTGGTGGGTGGCAGAAAGCTGGTTGAGTGTGGTCAGGAACTTCTGCAAGCATCAGTGGCCATGACCAGCAAGGGTGCTGTGCTGACAGCCCTTTCTACTGGCCACCCAAGACAACGTGTAAAGACTTACATTTTAGTATCTTCTCATTCATTTTTTTTTTTTTAAAGAAGTCCATTTTTTTTTAAAATTTTTATTTATTTATACAAGCACTGGGTACAGTCAGAAGCACAGGAGGGTGAGAGAATTCACCAGAGCCAGAGCGGGGAACAGAGCAGGCAGACTGATGAAGAAATACACTGCTGAGGGGAGCAGCGGGCGGCAGGAGAGGTCTGTTGCGCCATGTGGGACCCTCACCCGGTGGGTAGGAATCGAACCGGTGCTGCAGAGGCTGCAGGCAGCTTTGCAACCCAGCGCTCAACCACTGCGCCACAGGGGAGGCCCTTCTCATTCATTTTTATGGCTGATGGCTGCTCACCGTATTCGTGCGTACCTGGTTTATCCATTCGTCAGCTGAGGGACACTTGGGTCGTTTCCAACTGTTGGCGATTAATAATGTTGTGAGGAATATCCATGTATAAGCCTTTGCACAGACATTTGTTTTCAGTTGTCTGGGTGTAGCTAGGAGGAGCTGCGGAGTCCTAGGGTAACTGGGACTTTCCTAGGATCCCTCAAGCTGTTTACTGTGACCGCCTCTGTCCATCAGCAGCATGTGAGGTTCCAATTTCTTTACAGTCTCACTAACACTTGTCAGTTAGTGAGTTTTGATTATAGTTATCCCAGTGGGTGTGTGAAGTAGTATCTCACGGTCTTGAGGTCCATTTCGCTGATGATTCATGATGCTGAACAACTTTCCGGTGCTGATGGGCCATTTGTAGATCTTTGGAGAAATATCTATTCCAATTCTTTGCCCATTTTAAAATTGACTTGTCCTTTTGGTGTTGAGTTCTGGGTTATTGAGTATTCTGGATATTTTACCTGCACAGACAGGTGATGTGCAAATGCTCCTCTCACTGGAGCTGTCACTCAGCCTCTGTGAAAGTGTCCTTCCACATGCAAAAGTTTTAAATTCTGCTTCAAGGGCAGAGTGCTGTCAAAGGCCTTTGCCTGGGGGTGGGGAGCTTCTGCAGAATTTGGGGTCCTCAGCCTTTGCCACTTCCTGCAAATCCTCAAATATTTTGATCTAGCCCTTTACAGAAAAAGTTTGAGAGTCCCTTTATATTTATTATTATTTTTTAACTTTTACCACTTCAAAGGATGCAGCGATGGTCCCCTCGCGCGGGGGGTGGGGAGCTTCTGCAGAATTTGGGGTCCTCAGCCTTTGCCACTTCCAAGGGGCTCGCCATGAAGCTCTGTGAAGTGGAACCAATGTACCCTCCCCCTCAGCCATGCCTGCCTGGGCCTGCTCCCCAGCCTCCACCAACCGCGTTAGTCACTCGGGCCTCGCCAACATGATGAGTGAACAGGACACTGCTCGTTTTCATGAGCATTTTTCTTATTGTGAACAAGGTGCAGCATCGTAGTCTAAAGCGGAAAAACAACCCCACAACTCCTGGGCCCTTCCTCCCCTGCGGGGAAGCCTGAGGAACTGAGGTCGGCCCCACCTTCCCGGGCGAGAGAGGGGGCGCGGCGGGCGGGAGGCGCGAGCCGGCGACCCTCGGCTCCGCTGCTTCCCGGCCCGGCCCGGGCCGCGCTGCGAGGCCGCCTCCGGGGCGGGCCGGGGCGGGGCGCGCGGGCGGGTGGGAGGCGCCGCCTGCCTGATTCCCGATTTATTCCGTGCAGGAGGACTGAGCGCCCCGCGATCGGAGCCGCCCGGGCCGGTGCGCGCCCGCTCCCGCAGCATGCCCGGCCCCAGCCTGCTGACCGCGCTGTGCGGCGCGCTGCTCTGCGCCCCCGGCCTGCTGGCCTTCTCGGGTGAGTCCCCGGCCGCCGCTCGGAAGCTCGCGGCGCCCTCCCTGCGCCGCCTGTTTACAAACTTGGCCGAAGAGCCCGCGCGGAGGGCCGGCGCTCCCGCTGCGCCCCGGCCCGAGGCGGGGGTGCGCCCTGCTTGGCCCGCCCTTCCGCGCGGGGGCTCGGGCCGGAGAGGGAGGCGGCAGCGTGCTCTGGGCGTCGGGACACGGGGTGACAGCCCAGCGCCCCCCACCCCCCGCCCGGAGGTGGCTTGCACATAACAAAGGAACCGCTGTGCAAGGGCCTCGCTTTTCCCATCTGTGAAATGAGGCCACTGGGCGGTGCCTGCCCTCGTGCGCGGTCCCCACAAGTTGCCAGGACTCCAGGTGGCGAAGTCTCTGCCGCCCACTTCCCCCCGCAGCTCGTCCCGAGCCCCCGCGGCCGCGCGGCTCCTGGAGGTTTTGCGCCCCCACCTGTGGTTGGGTGTCCGGTCTGGGAAGAGGCGGACGGGGTCGGTTTTAGGGACCCAGCTCGCGGCGGGGCTGGGAGGGGCCGGGGCCGGGGAGGGACTTGAGAAAGGACCGCCTCCCCGGGCGCTGGCCGAGCTCCCGCGGCCTTGGCCTGCCCGGTCTCCTCGCGTCCTCCCCCGCCCTCCTGCGCGCTGGGCCCGGGGGTGGCGCAGCCCCTTCCTCGCGGGGCGCGCTGTCCCCTGGGGCTGGGCAAAGGGTGCCCCTGGGCATGGGGAAGGCCAGGACTCTGCAGGCACCGGCCCGATCTTTTTCTCCTAGAAATAGGATTGTGTGCAGCCCGCCGGGCGGGCACAGCAGCCGTGGGGGGGCGCAGCCCCGGCTCTGCCCCCAGTGACCAGTCCGACCCCAGGCCTGGACCCGGAGCCAGGTCTCGGGCTCCCGCGCACTTGGAGCCACCTGGCCCTGCGCAGTGGCCCTGAGACAGCTCAGTCTAAATACTCCCCTCCGCGCCTCTCTGCCCCACAACCTGAGTCCGGGCCAGATGTCCCTGGGGAAACCTCCCGAAGGGCAGGACCCTGGAACCACAAAGGTGATTTTGTAGGAAAGGGGACTGGGAAGCGCTGAGCGTTGCAGGTGAGTCCCTCTAAGTCTGCTGGCAAGGGGCCCCTTTCACTTTCCCTGTTTTCCCCTGCCTCCTCGGACCTGGCCCCTGCAGGAGAGGGTGCGGTTGGAAGGCGGAGGGAGAGGAGTTGGACTTTGCTGGAGTTAGATCCCAGGACTCTGGTCGTTCATTCCCAGGTGCTTGTCTGTGGCTCCTTCTGCCTGCTGCCTGTGGGTCAGGGGACAGGATTAACCTGCTATTTAAAGCCAATGACTAATAGCTCCTTGGGAGCCGCCTTAAGTGCTGGAGCAGGCCTGAGCTTAGAAGACTCCTGGGCTCATTACTGGTGCTCCCTTCCCTGGAGTGCTCCCTTCCCTGGAGCCCCTTCCCTTCCGTGGACTCTGTGACTGGAATTTCTGGAGGGCCGTTGGGATCTGCAGGGAGGACGGAAAAAGATTTCTTTAATCTCACCCCCAAATGACGGGATGGGTGTGGGGACTAGGTCCCGGGGCCACCGTTCCCAATGCTGAGGTCCTGGATGCTAAGGTCTGGGATGCTAAGGTCGGTTCAATGCCCCCAGGGTCTGACAAGAGGCTGGCACAGGCTGAATCTGCACCTCTGTGTCCAGACCCCCAAGCAGAGCCCTGATAGCCTCTCCAGTCCTTCTGTCACCTCCAGCCTCTGCCTTTCCTCCTCACCCCTTATCCTGACTTCCCCTCTCGGTCCCCTCTGGGATGCAAGCTGGATCTCGCACCTCACCACTCACATCACCTGCCACCCAGCCAGCGGCCGCCCAGCGCCCACCACCCACCTATCAGGTGGAGGGGTCTTTGTTGTGTAGCTATGGGAGCCTCGAACCCCAGCGGGGTCCTCTTTGGCGGCCTTTCTGCTGGCTTCCTTCCCAGCAGAATGGAGTTGGAAATGGCTCCCATCTCGAGAGCGAGGATCTTGACTCTTTCCCTGGTGGACAAGGGTGGGAGCTGAGGCCCGTCAAGGGCCCCAGGGCTGCAGGGTGATGTCCGAAGACCTTTGCAGCACCTGGCGCCCAGTCTCTGACTCCAGCGCACCTGTGCTCTGTGCTTCCGTTTCTCTCTAGAGTGCTCCTTCCCCGTCCCCCCCTCTGGATTTACATGTCCCTGCGTGAATGCCCCTTCCTGGCAGGAACCACTCTGGGTGCCTACGTCACCTCTTGACTGGTCACTGTTTCCCGTGGCTGGTGGGGCTGCCCTGGGGCTGCGCTGGCGCTTGTCTTGGGGCTCAGCTCATCCATGGTTGTTGGCCCCCAAGTAATTACCAAATGAACGCCGTGTCCCCCTGAGTCAAACTCCCATTGCAGGTGACTTCTGTGACTCGAGCCAGTGCCTGAATGGAGGGACCTGCTTGCTGAGCCAGGACAGAGCCCCCTTCTACTGCATCTGCCCCAAAGGCTTCGCAGGCCTCATCTGCAATGAGACTGAGAAAGGTACTGCCCGCTGTTCCTCACTGGCTGCTGGCGCCTCTCCCCATCTGCCGGCCAGACTCTCCCAAAGTGGCCGTGTCCCCTGCCTGCCTGAGCCAGCATTTTCCTGGAAACCCCCAGGCCACATGTCCAGCTGGCTGCTTCCTCTGTTTGGGGGATGCACCTCTACCTGCCGCATCTTGGCTCTGGCTATATCAGGCAGATGGGGAGGGGAGAGGAGTAGGAGTAGACGGCCCAGGCTTGAGTTTGGGTAGAGGGTTCTTTTTGGCTGGGCCCATTTGTTGCTGCCTGTGTCCGTCCCCAGCTCCTTGCTGATCACCTTTCACTTCCCTGCTCCCCCAACCTCACTGCCCAGGTCCCTGTTCCGTAAATCCCTGCCGCAACAATGGCGAATGCCAGGTGTTAGAAAATCGAGGGGATGTCTTCGCCCAGTACATCTGCAAGTGCCCTCGTGGCTACACAGGCGCCCACTGTGAGACCGGTGAGTATCAGGGCACTGCCTCCTTGGGCCAAGCCCCGATGGCAGGGTCTCTGGGTGACTTTGGGTGGCATGGAGCTCAGCTGGGCCAGAAGGTGGGTTGGGGTCCTGCAGTCCCCCTAGGGCTCTTCCCACCTGGCCCTCGATCCCTGGACTACAGGGAAGAGAGGGTGGCAGTGCCCCGGAGGTCATGGCGGAGCCGTTTCCTGAGTCACCTTGAGCCAGATACACAGTGTGTGGCTCATCCAGGCTTCTCTGTCCGGGTCCCAGGAAGTCCATTAGTCAGGCCTGGATGAGGGAGCCTGACTGTTTCTGGCCATGTGTGCCCTGTGGCCTCATTTTGAAACTTGAAGGAGGGAGAGGCCTAGGCAGGCAGGGCCAAGCCCTTGCTGCCAGGCGGGGCTGGCTCTTGGGAGCGCGGAATGCACAGAGGGGCTGGCCTGCTTGTGCTCTCCTTGCCACCCAAAGGCGTCAGTGTCTCCCCGCGCTGTCTTCTTTTCCGGCCCAGCAGCGTCCTCCCACCAGCCAGAACTCTTCCCCACCTGCTGTGGGCTGTGCCTTCTTCCAGGGATGTGGGGGGGCCTGATTTCTGACACTGAGCATGGCAGGCCGGCGCAGGTGGCTCAGGAGGCAGAGGAAGCAGGGCCGGGGCGGTGGTGTCTCTGAGGTCTGCAGACCTACAGGAGGGAGGACCCTGCTTGGTGGGGTGGGCCTGGGACCCTGGGAGGGTCCTGAGGAGGGCAGGTGCCCTCTCCTCAGAGGGGCCTTCGCCTCAGAGGGGCCCTCGCCTCAGAGGTGCTGCCTGTGCCCTGGGCCACATGTCTGCCTGGGGCCCGGAGGCCGGTCTGCTGGCGATCTTGGGTGGAGGAATGTATGTGGGGGTGGGGGGAAGCCTCCAGGTAGACAGCCCTGGTGGGCCAGGTGGGCCCACTAATTACTGTGCAGGAGCCTAGGTAACCACGGGGTGCTGGAGTTGGAATTAGCCAGCCAGCCTCCTGCTTCCCGGCCTGGGGTCTGTCCTTCCCCGGGAGGTAGGCAGCAGCTGCAAAGGTGGGGACCCCCAGGGGGACCCCCTTGTTTATTATGTGGTGTGTCTCCTTGGAGCACATAAGGGATGTGAGGACAGTCTAGAGGTAGTCCTATGTTCTGAACATTTCCCGGCCCCTGGCTGGCTCTGAGCTCAGGGGTGCGGCTTCATTCTCCCCAAGAATGTCATAGAACCCAGCTCTTTGTGAGTTTGGGGTGTCGGGGAAAGCCTGGCTCCATCTGAGGTCCAGGAGCACAGCATGGCGGCCGCATAGGCTGTCCACTGCCTTCCTGTCAGCGGGCCCGTATTTGTCCTCAGCCCCCAAGACAACTTCTGCCAGTGGGATTCTAGAAAACTCCAGGCAGGCTTGCTTGTTGCTCTCTGCGCGAGAGTGCACTGTTTGCTGGGGTCCGACATGCCCCTTCTCCAACACATCACCCTGGGGAGCTGGGGATGAGCTGGGCGTGTGGTCCCCCAGGTGGGGCACCAAAAAAACAGTCATGCTGGCCTTCTTTCCACCAGCTCCCGCCTGCACCAGCCCCCAGCCCACCCCCAGCCCCTCCCCTGCCAGCCCTTCCCCACACCCCCCTGCCCGGCATCAGCCCAGCCCTGCTCCAGAATAACGGGCTGCTCCATGCCTAGTAAAGATGGCCCCTGCCCTGGGGATGGCCGGGCCCTTCTCCCCAACTGGGTGCTTGTTCTGGGCCCCTCCTCTCAAGCCCTCATGGCCACGTCCTGGTCTCTGCTCTGGGTCATCTCCAGAGGCCATGGTCTGCCCTTATGCCCCTGCCTGGGCGTGCCCTGACAGCCCCCCTCCCTGCAGTCTGCGCCATGCCGCTGGGCATGGAGTCGGGTGCCATCAGCGATGGGCAGATCTCCGCCTCGTCCATGCACTTGGGCTTCATGGGCTTGCAGCGCTGGGCCCCGGAGCTGGCCCGCCTGCACCGCACGGGCATTGTCAACGCCTGGACAGCCAGCAACTATGACAGGAACCCCTGGATCCAGGTGCGGGGCCTGGTGGGAGGGGGCATGCTGCCTTTGGGGTCCCCACAGTGGGCTCGTTACTGGGGTCAGGTGAAGTATCTGTAAGTGGAGAGCAGTGTTGGGGACCCTGGAGTGTTAGGGGAGCACTGTTGGGGGCCCTGGAGGGGGAGCAGACCCAGGCTGGGGAGGGCCCCTAGTGCCTGGTCCCTGTGGGGTCCCTCCCTGAGAGACAATGAGAGAGCCTCCCTCCTCGGTCCTGCTTGGGCTCCCCCACTCTGGATGTAGGGTGGAAAGACCCCCAGATATAAGGTACTGTTTTCCTCACACGGTCCAGGTAAACCTGTTGCGGAAGTTCTGGGTGACTGGTGTGGTGACGCAGGGTGCCAGCCGCGCGGGCAGCGCCGAGTATCTCAAGTCCTTCAAGGTGGCCTACAGCATCACTGGCCACAAGTTCCAGTTCATCAAGTCTGCAGAGGGGTTAACAGACAAGGTGAGTGTGGGGAGACCCAAAAGGTCCAATGACCTGTCGAGGGTTGCTGCATAGGCAGGAGGAGCTGGGATGTACTTTGAGCCTTCAGGACTCCCATGTACAGCTGCACAAGTTGTACACTGCTCAAGGATGTCACTGCTGAGGGAGCCGCAATTGCAACAGCAGTTGTTAGTGCGCTTCTAGTTGTGGACAGAGTTTTGCTAATAAAGTATCTTGGGAAGGGAGCACCTTTTCCTATTGTGCACAGAGGCACCCCACGGATGACAGGTGGCCCCATGTGGGAGACGTGGGTTTATGCCCAGACTTGCGGTGTCCACAGTGGGTGTGAGAAGGGGAGTGGGTTGAGGGTGCCTGGGTTGATCTGCTCCTCCTCTCTTCCTCTTCCATCCAGATATTTTTTGGTAACACGGACAACAATGGCTTAAAGATCAACCTGTTTGACACCCCGCTGGAGGTGCAGTACGTGAGGCTGGTGCCCATCATCTGCCACCGGGCCTGCACCGTCCGCTTTGAGCTGATTGGCTGCGAGTTGAACGGTGAATGAGGGGACTGTGGTCAGTCCTGGTGGCCTTTCCTGCCCCCCTTTTCTCAGCCAGGGTGAGCTGGGGAGGGTGGCAGCCATCCTGGGGCCTGGGGCCTGGGCTCACGCAGGAAGGGCACAGAGGGCACAGAATGTTAGCAGCCCGCCCAGGCGTGCTCCACCTGCCGAGCCCCAGCCTTCTTCCTCCTGGCCCAGAACAAAAGACACCGCTTGGGTTTTAAGGTCTGTTCACTTACCCGGAGTGGTTCCTTGAGCGTCTGCAGCCGGCAGTGCTGGTTCTGATTCGTCGATGCCGGTGCTACTGTTATAGGGCAGCCCCGATACTGAATGGGTTGCCTGGCTGTGGGTCCTCACCCGCGTGCTTACAAGGGACTTATGAATACTCCACTACAGGCACACACAAAAGGTTAATAAAAGGTTTATTTACAAGGGAAAAGGAAATAAGGAAAATGTACAACTCAGGGAGAAAATAGGGAAATAAAGACTTTAATGCGTCCTACCCGATCTGCCGACCTGGAAACCCAAAGGCACTCTCCGAGCTGGCCGGATGCTGCGAGGTGGCGGAGAGCCAAAATGGGGGACCCCTCCAAAGCCCACGTGTCTGGCTTTATACCAACCTGGCTGCATAACCCCACCCTCAGGTCCCAGCCACCTTCCCTTGGGTGGGGATGGGATTTGGAGTTCCCAGTGTCTTTGGCTTTGGCCTGGGGTGGGGGTGGAGTCCACAAAGCCTGTATGGAATTAGCTTTAGGACAGCCTTTTCCCCCTAACAATTGGAGGCAGAAAGGTTGGTCACGTTGTGTCTCTGCTGTTTCCTGGGGTCTGGATCATGGGTGCCCAGTGAAGACCTGATGAGTAGCATATGAGCGAATTGAATGAATGAACGAGGAAGGTGAGGCCGGATAAATGATTTCTTGAGGGCACACAGCCAGTAGGTGTTGGAACACTTGATCTAGAATCCTGGGCTTTTGCCGCCACCCATCCATCCAGTGCTTCCCAGCAAACCTCTAAGGAGAGGAAATGGGGGCTCCTGGGGTCTTGATTCTGGAGCTGCTGCGTCCTGTTGCGCTTTCCAGAGAGCTTCCCACATGGTGGGATAGGTGTCCAGAAAGGGACAGGCTTTTGCTGAGCAAGGAAAACCTCACATTGGAGAGGTCAGGGTGCAGGCCCTACTGACCACGCGGCCCAGCCCCACTGCTTTCTGAATTCTGGGTGTCTCCTCTCTGCGGCCACAGTTGCCACCTGCTGGCCACCAGCGGAAGTGTAGGGCTTGCTGGCAGAGGGGGAGCCAAGTAGAGGGGAGCCCTGAGGGAGTACCTCTGAAGACCTGCCCTCTGCCCCACCCATCTCGGTGGCATCTTTTCCTGTATCCCGCATTGGTACCACGCAGAACCCCATGAGCTGTGTTTTGTGCCTGGCGGGGTTTAGTCTTTATGAAAAGTAGGACCCGTACTCTTTCCCGCTCCACCTCTTGTGGGGTAGACTTGGCCTTCTGCTCAGGAAATTTCAGGGATTGGTGAAGGAAAGAGGCAGATCTGGGGCCCCCACTCTGGGCTCCTATCCCTGGAGTCCTGGTCACCCCCCGACACAGTCTGCAGCGGTGGCTGTCACACTTGTGTGCGTGAGCCCAGCACTCCCTCTGAGGCCGAGAGGGGGCGAGGCAGCAAGCCTCTGGGAGGTGCAGCGCCCAGTCTGCTCCTGGCCTGGACTTCAGTCCCTGGGGGGCATCGCAGTTGCTGGAGGGAGTGTGGGCAGTTGCTGGAGGGAATGCCGGCATGTACATGCATGTGCACTGGGCAGGGTGCAGGGCTGGGCGTTCTTGGGCAGGTCTGGGTCGCAGGCGGCACCCTGTCCTGCTGGAATGGGCTTGTTAATGCAGTAGACATTTTTTTAAAAAGATTTATTTATTTACGCATACAAGAACTGGGGGGTTTGGGGGGTAAGAGGATTTGCCAGAGACAAAGAGGGGTACAGAATAGGCAGATCCACTGACATACACTGCTGAGGGGAGCAGTGAGGAGACAAGAGAGGTCTGCTGCACCATGTGGGTAGCTCCCTGGCCAGGGATAGAACTCGTGCTGCAGTGGCTGTGGACAGCTTGATAGCGCGGTGACTCAACCCCTTGCGCCACAAGGGAGGCCCACAGTAGACATTTCTGAGGGTGTTTATGAAGCTGCTTGTGAGGGTCTGGCCCTCGGGGACACTGCCAGCGGATCCCTGCCCATCTGAGACCTAGCTGGGGCTGGACACTAGCTAAGGGGCGATGGAGATGGGCTAGCAGGAAGGCTGGAGGGTAAGGCGTGAGGGCGACTTAGGGGGAGGGTGGGATGCCATGGGGACTGACTGCTCTGTTGGGGTGGGCTTTGAAGGAGGCTGGAGTGATGGAGTGCGAGCCTTGGAAAAAGCTTTGCAGGTGGGGAATGGGTGATGCAGGGCTGGGGCCTGTGAAAGGATGGAGGCTGGCGGTGGGTGAGGAGGCTGGAGGGAGGGAGATGGGCCAGCCAGCCCAGGCAGGGCCGTGTGGGCCGGGGAAGGATCTGGGCCTTGTCCTCCGGACCAGCGGCCGCCATGTGGGGAGTGCTAGTGTCCCACCCTGCGCACCAGCACGCATCTGGGCGGGCCATGACAGTGGAGGTGTTGCCGTGGCCTCCTGGTTGCCGTGGCCTGCTGTTTCCCGTTCGTGGGGCTGGGGCCCGTGCTTGGTGGTGACTGGCCGGAGTGAGTGCCAAACCACTGAGATGTTGTAAGGAATGTCTTGACCGTATTCGCAGGACTTGGGTATGGATGGCAGCTGTGTCCCACCCAAGACAGGTGGGCAGGGCAGGCTTCTTGGAGACGGTATCTCATAAGTCAGGTCTCGAAGCGGGGCAGCAGGTGGGCTGCCCTGGAGTGAAGGGCGGAGGGCAAGTCAGGGTGGGGTGGGAGCTGTGGGCCGCTGGCCGAGGCCAGGAGGGGTGATGGGCCGACTGTGAGAGAGGAACTGGGTCTCTGCTGGCTAACAGTTGGGGCAGGACGCAGAGTTCCGGTCCCTCAGGATCTCGTGCCCACTCTTACCCGGGGGCTGAGGGCCTGGATCTGATGATGCCCCCTTGCTGGCAGGCTGCACCGAGCCCCTGGGCATGAAGGACAACACCATCCCTGACAAGCAGATCACGGCCTCCAGCGTCTACCGGACCTGGGGCCTGAGCACCTTCAGCTGGCTCCCCTTCTACGCGCGCCTCGACAGGCAGGGCAAGTTCAACGCCTGGACTGCCCAGAGCAACTCCGCCTCTGAATGGCTGCAGGTGGGTGTCAGCCTCTGGGCCATAGGACTTGGGGTCATCAAGAGGGAGTGTCCTCAAAGCCTTGTTTTTCTTGGCTTTGCTTTTCTTCTTTCCATGTGCACCTGCCCCCCAATTCTGTATCTCCAGTGGGGCGAGGAGGCCCTGCCCCAGTGGAGAAGGGGTCTCCATGTGCGTGGGTAGGATGTGAGGCTGGGTGACCAGGCTGTGCCTGGGGACCACCTGGCAGGAAGGAGGAGGAACCCCTGACCCAGGCACCTCGGGGTGTCTGCCGGGCCCAGACTTCCTGGAAAGTGGGAACCCAGAGCCTCACCTGTGTTGGAGACAAGGAAACAGTCCCATGGGTGCCAGCCCTGGCTCTCCTGCTGGTCAGCAACGAGTGAAGTTTGCAGTCTGGGTCTTGGGGTGGCTGTCATGGCAGCCAGTAGGGTCCCCAGGCTGGTCAGGACCTGGGTGGTAGGAGGTCTGCTGGATCGTCCCCCAGGCCTTGGACTGCCCTCAGGGGGCCTCGGGAGTGGTTCTTACCTGCCCCGTGCTCCCTGCACCCCATGCAGGCCCCAGGCAGGCTTGGCTACTTCACTGCAGAGCCTGTGAGGAGAGGGCGGCATTTGTGCCCTTTATAGATGAGGAGACGGAGCCTCTGCTAGGTGATGCCACTTTCCCCAAACTAGAATTCTCGGCCCGGGGCCTGCCTTGTCCTGCCTGGCCGGCCCGTGCGAGTACAGGGACGGGTTGTTCCTCCCCTAGATCGACCTGGGCTCCCAGAAGCGGGTGTCTGGCATCATCACGCAGGGGGCCCGAGACTTCGGCCACATCCAGTATGTGGCCGCCTATAAGATAGCCTACAGCGACAACGGCATGAACTGGACCGAGTACAGCGACCCGGGCGCCATCGACAGCAAGGTGGGTGTCTGTCCAGCTGGTGACTGCAAGGGCGCCGGGCGGGGGCCGCTCCGGCCCTGACACTTCTCTGCCTCCAGATCTTTCCCGGCAACCTGGACAACAACTCCCATAAGAAGAATGTGTTCGAAACGCCCTTCGTGGCCCGCTTCGTGCGCATCCTGCCTGTGGCCTGGCACAACCGCATCACCCTGCGCGTGGAGCTGCTGGGCTGCTAGCCGAGGCCCGGCCGAGGCGCCCGGAGGGCTGGGGTGATGCCCCTGCTCCTGCCCTCCTGGCCTTCCTGGGCCTGCTGCCTCCTCCACCCGCGTCCTGACTAGCTGATGGGGTGGGCTTCTGTCACCTCCCTCCCTCCCTGCCTGTGCCCCCCACCTGCCCCCAGGCCATCACCCCACCCTCACGCATGGTGGGAGCTGGTTAGGTCTGGCACCACACCACTCCCCACTCCAGCCCTTTTCCCACACCCCATGCCCTCTGCTGGAGGCTGGCCGAGGTGCCAGACTGGAGATAAGAGCCTCCTGCCCCAGCCTCAGGCAAGATGCTGCTTCCCCACCAGCCCCACCCCCCTCCAGACCTTCTGCCCCTTGTCCTGGAGCCTATAAAGAGACAGGAGGAGATGGGCAGACCTCTGGAGAGGGAGGAGAGGAGGCGGGAGGGTGTGGGGTCCTCTGTGCTGGCTCTTTACCCTGAGTACACAGGCAGTTCCCCAAATATATTTATGTCACCCCCACCCCAAATTCTTCCTGTGGTTCTTTGTTGCTCCACTGAAATGGACTTGGGCTATAGTACCCCCTTGGCGTGTGCGGGCCCCTGCTCCCTTCCACTCTCAGTGCTGCTGGACCCCAGGGTCCTGGTGTCAAGGCTGAGATGGTGGAACCGCAGAGGATGGAGCCACTTGGCTCACCGCCTTCCCTACCCTGGGGTCAGCCCCCTTCCACACTGCACAGCCCTGGGCCCCTGGGTGCTGCCTGACACCCTAAGGTGAGGACCCCAGAGGCTCCTGGCACAGCCTTGCCTCCTGGAAGCTGCTACTGCCTTCCCAGCCCTTACTGGGAAGACGGGCGGTGACTGCTGGCAACTTCCCCCCTTGGCAATTTCTGTTTTCCTGGTAACTGGGGCAGTGGGTGAGGGAAAGGACTGGGCAGCTTTTGCAGCTGTGGGGGTCCAGGGTAGAATGCAGTGTGGGAGGGAAAGGTCCAGGCCTCTAGGCCTGGCACATGGGTTCCTAGGATGTCAAGGACAGGTTGGTTTCTGGGCTGGAAGGATGGTTCAGGGGTGGCCCTGTATTACCCCCACACAGGCCATAAGGAATTGGCCAGTACGAGGCAGTGTGGGCCAGTGCCCCAGTGATGGGGGGCGGGGAGGGAGGGCACTGGCACTGTGAGGAGGGACTTAACTGGCTGGAGAAGAGGCTCATGAACCCACTCAGGCCACAAGATGCATTTTCCTTTTTTTTTTTAAAGATTTATTTATTTATGCATACAAGAACAGGGTACAGGCCAGAGGTGCGGGCGGTTAGAGGATTCACCAGAGACAGAGTGGGGAACAGACCAGGCAGACTGACTGAAATACATTGCTGAGGGGAGAAGCAGGTGAGGCAGGCAGGGTCTGCTGAGCCATGTGGGTTTCTCCTTGGCCAGGGATCAATTTGTGCTACAATGACTGTCATTAGCTTCACAGGTTGCGTCTTAAACCCTTGTGCCACCAGGGAGGCCCAAGCTGCATTTTCTGGAACAAACTTTGGGGAGATCTGGCCGCTGGGCTGTCAGAGGGAAGGTGCGGCTTTGGTGGAACCTCATCAGGAATGTAGTATGGAAGTGGCTCCTTCCTGAGAGCTGTCCGTCCCAGGGCTTCTTGGGGGATCAGAAGACAAGGGTGATCTCCCTGGGAACTGGGAGGGGAGGCCTTCCGCCTCTGGCTGGCCCTGTGGCAGGCGGGCTCCAGACAGGGACCTCTTACCAGCCAGAAGACCCCAGGATCCTTCCACCATCTCCCAACACTTCCTTCCTCATCTTTGCAGTCCTGGGTGTTAGGGGGAAAGGATGTCCTGAGCTAATTCCATACAGGCTTTGTGGGCTCCACCCCCACTCCAGACCAAAGCCATCAAGACATTGGAAATGACAAATCCCATCACCACCAAAGAGAGGGTGGCTGGGACCTGAGGGTGGAGTTAAACTGGCAGGTTTAGTATAAAACCAGACATGTGGGCCTTGGGTCTCTCTCTTGGCCTCCTGGCTCTTGGCCAGCTCTCAGCATGCCATTGGGATTCCAGGTCAGCGGAACAGGTAGGATGCATTCATGAGTTTATCTCCTTTTTCTCCCTGAGTTATTCATTTCTTCATTTTCCCTTTCTTTTGTAAATAAACCTTTTATTAACCTTTTGTGTGCACCTGCAGTGGAATATTAATAAGCCCCTTTTTAAGTGTGCGCGGGTGAGGACCCACAGTCAGGCAACCCGTTTTATATTGGGGTTGCCCTGTCACAAGTTTGACGCCCAACATGGTTTCCAAGTTACACCCGTGGTTGACCAGTCCAAAGTAACTCCTTGTGTTGTTCACCATAAGTGCACTAGGTCTGCAGGACACTGGTAAAAGTCTTTGTCCCAGGTCTTGAACAGTTTTTTTTTTTTTTCCCCTCTTGCATACAGCTGTCTGGTCTTTCAACTGCTAGGGGGTAAGGATGTCCTGAGCTAGTTCCACACAGCTTTGTGGACTCCACCCCCGACTCCAGACCAAAGCCATCAAGATACTGGAAATGGCAAATCCCGTCATCACCAAAGGGAGGGTTGCTGGGACCTGAGCATGGAGTTAAGCAGCCAGGTTTGGTATAAAACCAGACACGTGGGCCTTAGGGGGCTCTCTTGGCTCTCTGCTAGCTGGTGCGAGCCAGGCTACCCATGCTGTTTGACAGGGTCCAGGCAGGGGAGAAATTCCTGAAAGGTCGGGAAGCTCCGCAGCTGGCTCCTGCAACTTCCTTTCATTTGTTTATGGCAGTTTTCACAATCTTGGGAATTTTCTATAAAGCTTTAAAATGACATTATGAGTACTGACGTTAATGCTAGTTTCAGTAATGCACACTCCAGCAGTTTAAAAAATGTACATTCCAACATAATTGATAATGTGACGATTACCAATATTTCTCCACATCCCCCGATTTGTAAATCATCTACCATGAGCATTGCTAAAATCTTTAACAAATTATGCTTGAAGGAACTATTGGAACCAAGCCTGGTAGAAGTCCTCACAAGAGGAGGCACTGAGGCGCCCCAGAGACAAATTGGTCTGAAAAAAATGTACCACATACTGTTCCCACAGTAGGGGGACCCATAGTCCCAACAAACAAACTAGGAAGCTGCTTTTTCATCTTACAATGCCTGCTTGACCTTTCTGTAGTTAACTAGCTTGACCACATAAGTCATGCTCTGTCTAGCTCTTGTTTCTAGTTCTGAGAAATTTACTTAAAGAAAAAATGTAATCAGGTTAATCGTAGACTAAGAAATTTGAGTAAAGATTGTGCACTGTAAATAATTTAAAAATAACCTCTAGAGAATGTAAAACTAAAATCCCATGATTGATGATGTAATGATCAAATAACAAATTTCTAATGTATAAATAAAGCTCCACTGAGGCTATCAGTAGGAGATACTTGTCACCCTGATTGTCAGTGTCTCCTCATTCCCTCATTTCCGCTGACGCTGTCCTTTCCTTCGTGGACCCTGCCTTGGCTGGAGCTGGACTCTGGCAGCTAGGTCTCAGCGTGCCATTGGGAGTCCAGGTTGGTGGAACAGGTAGGTCGCATTTAAGACTTTGTCTCCCTCTTTTCTCCCTGAGTTGTACATTTCCTCATTTTCCATTCCCTTATAAATAAACCTTTTATTAACCTTTTGTGTGTGCCTGCAATTGATTATTCATAAGCCCCTTTTAAGCACGCGGGTGAGGACCCACAGTCAGGCAACCCGTTTTATATCGGGGTTGCCCTGTCACAGTTTGGCGCCCAATGTGGTTGACCAAGTCATGCCTGTGGTTGACCAGCCCAAAGTAACTTTCCTTGCGTTGGTTACCATAAGCACACTAGGTCTGCAGGACACGCAGTGTAATCTGTCTGAAGTCTTGTAAAGTCTGCTTTTTCCCCCTTGAGTATATAGCCAAACGTGGCCTCAACCATGAGCTTACACAGTTTTATCCCTAGCTTGAGTTCTTTCAGTTTTTTTCCAGCCTTGAGTTTAAGTAGCCCTTTTCAGTTAAATATTACCACCAGTTTTATAAATGTACATAATTTGATAAAACCTGGTATATGGCACATGATTTTACTTCTGTATACATACATGGGTGGTTTACAAGCCATCCCCTACTTTACAATCTGCTTCTGGGTGTTTGTTTGGTAATGTGTGTGAGCGCCATTTGCTACATTCTTGGTTCTATGAGAGGTACATGTTCTACTTCACATACTGAGAATGTGCATCAACACATTCAGGCTCTTAGCTCTGCAACAACAAATTCAGGCTCTTGATTTAACTATTAAGAGTATGAGGGATGAAAACCGTACTGTTTCTGAGTCAGCTTTAAAAAGCATGCAGGATCAAGCTTTTAAAAGTATGCAGGACAAGCTACAGGCTGCCCTCCATAAATTGGATGTGGCAGAGGCTCAGCTGATGGCACAGAGAAAGGATAAACCTTCCCCTTCCCATGAGGACTGCAAGAGGGCAGAGTAAGAAGAGGAGGAGTATCGTTTGATAAATACATCAGGGCAAAATCCTTCTCCATGTGACAAGGACCCTCCTGCGCAGACTCCTGAGGCTTCACAGCCCCCATTACCCCCTGGGGAGGAAACTAAAATGGCTCCTCCGCACACTAGACACCGCACCCATTTTGGCAGGAAGGGTCACCCTGAGGCAGCACAGTTTCCTCTTTGCCAGATGCTGATGGGTGGCTTGAATGAACATGGGCCACCTGCTGGGTACTTTTGGTCACACCATCCCTTTAGCACCACAGACCTCCTAAATTGGAGGAGCTCTGTCTCCTCATACTGACAGGCTCCTAAGAGGATGGCGAACTTGTTTGCCTCTATCTACCTCTCCCACTGCCCTAACTGGGCAGATATACAGTCTATGCTTCAAACTTTGCTGACTGGACGAGCAGAGAATGGTTTTCAGGAAAGTCAGGGAGGAGGCTCACCGTCTCCACCAAGAGGACAGAGAATCCCCAGAGCCAGAGATGGTTGTCCCAGTGGTAGTGTTACAGGGCAGGGAGAGGGGCACTCCAGACCCTGCAAACCCGACTGCGCTAAATATGTTCTGCCATCTGCCACATCAACACAGAACAAATAAGACTTTAATGGGAAGGAACTTTAATACAATTAGGAAACAATGCAGGAAAGGCAAGAATATAGTTTCTAAATCAAATACCCAAAGTTACCCGTCCCCTCATGGGTAAAAGTACACCCAAGCAGGATTGGCCCAGAGCTAGGCTGCAAGTCTAAAGCATCTTCCACAAGCACTCAAGCACTGCCACAAGGCTAAAGCATATTCCAGCGGGGACCTGTTATAGAGCAACCCCGATATTAAACGGGTTCCTGGCTGTGGGTCCTCACCCGCGCGCTTTAAAGGGACTTATGAATACTCTACTACAGACACACACAAAAAGTTAATAAAAAGTTTATTTACAAGAGGAAAGGAAATAAGGAAAATGTACAACTCAGGGAGAAAATAGGGAAATAAAGTCTTTAATGCGTCCTACCCGATCCGACGACCTGGAAATCCAAAGTCACTCTCAGAGCTGGCCGGACGCTGCGAGCTGGTGGAGAGCCAAAATGGGGGAACCCCGCTAAAGCCCACGTGTCTGCCTTTTATCTCCACCTGGCTGCTTAACCACACCTTCAGGTCCCAGCCACCTTCCTTTTGGTGGGGATGGGATTTGGAGTTCCCAGTGTCTTTGGCTTTGACCTGGGGTGGGGGTGGAATCCACAAAGCCTATATGGAATTAGCTTTGGGACATCCTTTTCCCCCTAACAGACCCACAGAAAAGGATCAGAAACAACCAGACAAGTCTGGAAGTGTAACAGGGTGGTCCCCAGGAAAGGGGGAGGTTCCCTGCCCCACCCAAGGAAGGGTGGAGCTGAGCAGGAAGAGAAGAAGCTGCAAGAAGAGACTGAGGAAGGAAGGAAGCAGGATGGAGCCAGGAGACCTGGAGGAGGCGCATGGAGCCTAGAGACACGTGAAGAAACTGCGCTTGTCTTTTGGTCGTGGACTGGGTGACACAGATGTGGGTGAGACCCGTGGGGAGGTGACAATGGCAGCTTTTATCTTGATGTTGATTTTGCTCTTTTCCTTCCGGGCTTGTCCGGTTGTTTGTGACCCTTTTCTGTGGGTCCCCACTGGAAGATGCTTTAGACTTGTGGCAGGCCTTGGGGCCTTGCTCTGCGCCATTCCCGTATGGATGGACTTTTACCCACGAGGGGACGGGTCACTTTGGGTGCTTCATTTAGAAACTAGACTCTTTGCCTTACCTGTATTGTTTCCTAGTTCTATTAAAGTTCCTTCCCATCAAAGTCTCCTATGTTTTGTGTTGATGCGGCGGATGGCAGAACCCATTTAGAATAGGCAGGTTTGCGGGGTTTGGGCTGCCCCTCTCCCTGTCCTATAACAGAAGGAAAAGAGCAAAATCAAAATAAGGACAAAATCCACCACTGTCGCCTCCCCACGGGTCTCACCCACATCTGTGTCACCCAGTCCACAACCAAAAGGCAAACGCAGTTTCTTCACGTGTCTCTCAGCTCCATGTTCCTCCTCCAGGTCTCCTTCTGGCTGCATCTTGCTTCCTTCCTTCCTCAGTCTCCTCTGCAGCTTCTTCTCTCCCTGCTCAGCTCCACACTCCCTTGGGTGGGGCAGGAAACCTGGAACTCCCCCCATTTCCTGGGGATCACCCTGCTCCAGTAGATCCCGAGTGGGACCCCAGCAACTGAGGAATGGTGATGTTAGAGCTGTATAAAAAATGTTTACGGGTAGGACTGGGGCAGGGAATCCCCAAACAACAACAAATTTTTTTTAAAAGATTTGTTTATTTATTTTGTACAAGAACCGGGGTACAGGTCAGAAGCATGGGAGGGTGAGAGAATTCACCAGAGCCAGAGCGAGGGAACAGAACAGGCAAATGGACCAAAGACACTGCTGAGGGGAGCAGCGGGCGAGGCAGGAGAGGTCTGCTTCACAATGTGGGGTTCTCCCTGGCCAGCGGGGAATCGAACCGATGCTGCAGAGGCTGTGGACAGCTTCACAGCGCGGCGCTCAACCTCTGTGCCACCGGGGAGGCCAGCCCAAACAAAAATTTTTAACAAAATATTACAACTTGAACAAGGAGCTATGAGTATCCATCGGAGTTCCTTGAAAGAATTATTCAGATGCACAGCGAGCACACAGACATAAACCCAGATGCCCCAGAAAATTCTCGTCTGATCACTATGGCGTTCATCACACATGGTGCCCCAGACATAAGGAGAAAGTTAGCAAAGGTGGACGGCATCACAGAGATGAGTCCATCCCAGGTAGTGGACTTAGCATTTCGGGTTTATAATAATAGAGAGGACAGGAGACCGAACTGCGACTGTTTTCATACAAAGAGAGAACAGGACACGGGTTCAGGGAAACAGAAACGGACTGAGACGTGAACCCAGAAGTGAGCCCCTGGGGAGAAAACTGATGGAAGTCATGCTACTCATGTTGTCTGACAAGAGTCTGGGCATGGGGCAGATTCCTGAAAAGTCAGAAATCTCGTTAGCTAACTCCTGCTAGATTCTTCTTATTTATTTATGGCTAGTTTCTACCATTGTTAAAATACACATTTAAAAGTAAAACTGCAAATGCTTTTTGATCAATTACTGAATTGAAAGGGAAATATTAAGGAAAAGGGAACTGTTAATGAAAGGGAACTGTTAAGGAAAAGGAACTGCTAAGGAAAAGGGAACTGCTAAGAAAAGGAAATCCTTCCTTGTTAAGAGCCATAGACATGGAAACTAAAGTACAAGAGAAGTTTGCTTCCTTAATAAGCATATCTAAACAAGGCCTGGCAGCCTGCTAGGCTGGTTGTTCTCCTGGGCCATTCTTGAAGATCTGCATCCTTCCCCTTTTCCTGTGTCAAGAATTTGTATGCTAACTAACCAATGTTATCAATGAAAATGGTTATGTATAAAAGAAACTCTTTGTCTCTATACCATGCTCAGACCTTATGGGGCTACCCAGGTCTGGGACCTCATGCATGAGTAATAAAGCTGCTCCTGTCCTCACCATTCCTGAAGTACCGTTTGTTCTTCCCCTGCCTGGGTAAGAGGTTACAATTTATTTCTGCAACAGAATAACCAATTTGATGGCAAAAAATTAGTAATTCTCTGCCAAAAGGCAGCAATTCAACATTTGGCCTTACATTAGCAAGTGAAAAACTTCCGGGAACAAAAGGCTGTAAATATCCCTGGGCCAAGTCTTTGATATGGATTTGGGGTCTTTCAGGCAGGAGCTAAATGGAAAAGGAAATTCTTTTGCCTTGAAGTTAAAGATAGCAGCTGGGTGGCAGCCGTGAGCCATGCTCCAAGTGTAAGAAAATTCCTGATAAGCCAGGAGGCGCCATAGAAGGCTCCTGCTAAATTCTTCCTGTTTGTATAGGGCTTACTCCGCTGGAGGTAACCATTGGTATGGCAGCTGTTAGAGTATGCATTCAAGAATAAGTCAACAACAATTTTGTGACTGGTTGAGCTAATAACCATGGCAGCACAAATAATGCACTTGGAAATAGTCAATATTACAACTACTGATATGTCACGTATTAACTATTCTGGAAACCAAAAGCTATAACCATCCCCAGCCCTGCCT